GATCTTTAAGTATTTTTTTATGCATTTTAATGATTTTTAAGATTTTTTTTAGGGTTTTTTGTTTTCCATAGAACCTTATATGGGAGCGTTCAATCGAGAACATTTCTTATCGCGAAAACATTTGAGAACAAATTTGAAAAACACAATTTTTTTAATTAAAATTATAAAATAATATTCATATAAAACAAAAAATAATTACAAACAATTAAAAAACCACTCACCACCCAACCAACACGACCCATCACCACCACCCATCACTAACCACCACCACCAACTACCACCCACCACCACCACCATCACCACCTGCCATCACCACCCAACCAACCAACCTGCCACCACCCCCCCTCACCGCCTGCCACCACCACCCACCTCCACCGCCTGCCACCACCACCAACCCCTACCTACCACCCATCACCACCACCCATCCGATCACACCCACCACCACCCACCACCACCACTCATCACTAACCACCACCACCAACCACCACTCACCACCCATAACCACCGCCCGCCACCCGCCACTACCACCCATCACCACCAACAATCACCACCCACCACTACCCACAACCACCAACCACCCACCAACACCCACCCACCACAACCACCACCACCCACCTCCACCACCACCCACCACTACCCAACACCCGCCACCACCACCACCAACTACCACCCACCACCCAACCAACTACCACCCACCACAACCCCTACCTACCACCCATCACCACCACCTGCCACCACCCACCACCAGCACCAACAACCACGACCTACCACCCATCACCACCACCCGCCAACCACCAACCACCCCACCCCACCCCCACCAACACAACACCACCCACCCACCACCACAACCACCCACCACCACCAACCACTAACCCCCACCACACCACCAACCCACCCAGCACAACCACCACCACCCAACCTCCCCACCACCACCACCAACAACCACTACCTACCACCCATCACCACCACCCACCACCACCACCCGCCACCACCCACCACTACCCACCACCACCAACCACCACCCCCACCACCCACCCACCACAACAACACCACCCACCTCCACCACACCACCACCACCCACCACCACCACCCATCACTACCCACTACCACCACCCACTACCACCCGCCACCACCACCACCCATCACTACCCACCACCCCCCACCAACCACCCATCACTACCCACTACCACCAACCACCACCCATCACTAACCACCACCCACCACCCATCACTACCCACCACCACTCGCCATCACAATCACCACCCAACCACCACCACCCGTCACTACCCACCACCACCCGCCACTCCTCACCACAACCACCACCCACCCACCACCACCACCACCAACCACCACCCGCCACCACCACCCATCACTACCCATCACCACCAACCTCCACCCATCACTATCCACCACCCGCCATCACCACCACCCACCCACCATAACCACCACCACCACCAACCACCACCCGCCACCACCATCACCACCACCACCATCATCACCACCCGACCAGCACCACTCGCCACCACCACCCACCAAAACCATCACCTGTCACTATCGCCACCAACCATCACCACCAATCACCACCACCCCGCCTCCACCACCCGCCGCCGCCACCCCCACCTACAAAGATTTGTTATTGTGTTTTTGATTCATTAGGTTTTCTCTTGTATATAATCACATGTGATTATATGTATCGAGTCACATGTGGTTATATGTATCGAATCATATATGATTTATATGATATTAAATACATATAATCAGATGTGATTAAATACACGTGAAAAACTAGTGAATCGAGAATGCAAAAATGAATATTGTCCACGTAAATTATATGTGATTAGATACATATAACTACATGTGATTATATATATTTAATAAAATATTATTTACGTAGGCCGTATTTATTTTCGTGTTTTCGATTTAATAATTGGCATCGTGTATTAAATCACATGTAATTATATGTATTTAATCACATATGATTTATATGGACAATATTTGTTTTCATGTGTTGATTCAATAGTTGTTCTTGTGTATTTAATCACATGTGATTATATATATTTAATCACATATGATTCGTATGGAAAATATTTTATTCTTGCGTCGATTCAATAATTGTTCTAATATATTTAATCATATGTAATTATATGTATTTAATCACATATGATTTATGTTGACAAGATTCATTATTTCTTTCTCAATTCAATAGTTGTACTCATGTACTTAATCACATGTGATTATATATATCAAATCACATATGATTTATATTGATAATATTCACGATTCAATATTTTTTCTTATGTATTTAATCATATGTGATTTTATGTATTAATCACATATGATTAATGTGGAAAAAGAAAAATTATTTAATCAAAAACGCGAAAATGAATCTTATGTATAGAAATTATATGTGACTATATGTACAAGAACAACTATTGAACAAGAATGTGAAAATGAATATTGTCCATATAAATCATATCTAATTAGATACATATAATCTCATTTAATTAAATACACAAGAACAACAAATGAATCGAGAACGCGAAAATAAATATTTTCTACATAAATTCTATATGATTAGATACATATAATCACATGTGATTAGATACATATAATCACATGTGATAATTGTGGACAATATTTATCTTTGTGTTCTCGATTCAATAGTTGTTCTTGTGTATATAATCATATATGATTATATGTATCTAATCACATGTGATTTATGACATCATTATTTTTTGTCCATACAAATCATATGTGATTAGATACATATAATTACATGTGATTATATGTATTTAATCACATATGATTACAGTTGACAAAGAACAATTACTGAATCGAGAATGCGACAATGAATCATATCCACATAAATCATATATGATTGGATACATATAATCACATATGATTATATGTATTTAATCAGATATGATTTATGTAGACAATATTTGATTATATGTATTTAATCACATATGATTACAGTTGACAAAGAACAATTGTTGAATCGAGAATGTGACAATGAATCGTATCCACATAAATCATATATGATTGGATACATATAATCACATGTGATTATATGTATTTAATCAGATATGATTATGTAGACAATATTTGTTTTTGCGGTTTTGATGAATAATTGTTTTTGTGTATTTAATCACATGTGATTATATATATATATATATATATATATATCTATATATATATATATATATATATATATATATATATATATATAACCACATATGATTTGAGGTGGACAAGATTCATTTTTGCCTTCTCGATTCAATAGTTGTGCTCATGTACTTAATCACATATGATTATACATATAATCGCATGTGATAAAATACATGAAAACAACTATTGAATCGACAAAGCGAAAATGTATTGTGTCCACATAAATCATATGTGATTAGATTCATATAATCACATGTGATTAGATGTATTTAATCACATATGATTAATTTGGATAAAGATTTATTTTTGTGTTCTTGGTTCAATATTTGTTATCGTGTATATAATCATATGTGATTGTATGTATCCAATCACATATGATTTATATAGACAGGATTTGTTTTTTTCCAAATAAATCATATGTGATTAGAAAAATATAATCACATCTGATTAAATGTATTTAATCACATATGATTAAAGTGGAAAAAAATAATTATTGAATCGAGAACGTGAAAATGAATCTTAGCCACATAAATCATATGTGATTATGTACACGTAATAAGAGACTTAGTGTAACTCACCTCATTGAACTTGAAAATCAGCTAGCGTGAGCAAGATAGATCCTTTCCTTTTCAAGAACCTACACAACAATTATAACATTATTTAGCTTGTGCTTTGTTGTATTACTCTTATAAAACTTATGTATATATTTTCTTATTTTCTCTTTGATTGTAGTCCTCTGTTTGGGATATGCTTTCTTACCTTTCAACCCATTATTAAATTTCGATAAAATAATATTGGTAAAGTTCCATCTTTTATCTTTTCAGAAATATAAAGATCTAGTTCTAATGATTTTTGGTTGATTTTATATTAAATTTACAAGTTCGTAACTTTAAGCTGTCACATTCTGGACCACTCAACACTATTGAAATAAACTGAACCAATCTACTAAGAATTACATCAAACTCTTTATATGTAGGAAACTATACATCCATATCTAACTATAGGCTTTGGAATTTTTGCATTTGGAGTTCGGATGAATTTATTATGATTTTTTGAAGACAATGCTAGGAATCTATGACAGCATGGACCAAACTGAGAAGATTGCCAATTTTACCCCTCAAGGATATGGAATTACGAAATATGATTCAAAGTTTGAAGAAACTAGACACAATAATATTTCCAGAAAAATAAGTCTCATGATTTTTGAGGTGTTCCTACTGACTTGCACGAATTTTAGAAGTTGGAGGACAGATTTTGGGAAAATTTATCATAATAGCTTTTAAATCACTTTTGGTGTTCTATTAAGTACTTAATGGTTAAGCCTTAAGTTTATCACTTTTAACATGATTGTTGGTTACTCATTAGGATATTGAGATGTGAAATTCAATTTAACCTAAGGACCTTAATGTTTGGCTTAATGAGGGTTCAAAGTTAAGGATTTTCACATAAAATGCCACTTTTACACTTATTAGGTTCTTTCAAACAATATGACAAACACCTTGTGTGCATGAAATCCTATAGTGATCATTAACTCTCTAATAGACTCCAATACAGCCCCTAGAACATACTATTTTCATTTATCATTGACACGAACAATTAACATAAAGAAGAAACGATTCATGATTATAAATGGAACGATGTCAGATTTCACAATATCATGAATCTGACTCATAATTAATTCGATCAGATCCATTGTTTTCCTGATCAGAGTACAAATCAAACTAGAATGTGCTAATGAGAGAGAGAGAGAGTAGTGATACTACCTTCGGAAGATTATATTTATTTATCATACCACCACTTGCTTTTCAGCTCCCAAAATCGAAATCACGCAGTCAGATCTCCCTAATTTTACCTCCAGCGCGACAACATTTCATTCTGGTGGACATTTCTCCAGATTCTTGATCTGTATCGTGGAGACCGCGAACCAGATCTGGTGCCTTCAACTTCAAATCCAGATCCGAAGAAACTAGGTATGATAGGTGGTTCAGATGAGACGAATAGGTGAAGCAGATTCCTAGAGAGCGGAGAAACGACGCTTTCAGTAGTGGTCCGACAGTTAGATGGCCGACGGCGGAGATATGGCAGTTCCACCGCCTGTCCGGTGCTCTTAATGGTGGTCCGGAGAAATTAAAAAGACGTACTAACGTATATTTGGTGGGGTGGTGTTGGGGTAGGTAGTTTTTATTTGTTTATAGTAAGATTTAAAGTAGTGGGTTAAAATTGTTCTCAAATGTTCTCACGGGAAATATGTTCTCATTGGAACATAACCACCCTTCCCCACCTCCTCCACCACCACCACCAACCACCCTTCCCCACCTCCACCACCACCACATACCATCACCAATCTCCACTATACGACCACCACTCACTACCTACAACCACCAACACCATATGTTATTAAATGTATATAATGACATAAATCATGTATGATTATATGTATTTAATAAAATAAAACACATGTGATTAAATACATATAATCACATATGATTTATATAAACAAGAATCGTTTTCATGTTTTCCATTCAATAACTTTTATCATGTATTTAATTATATATGATTATTTGTATTTATTAACACATGATTAATGTGAACAAAGATTTGGTTTTGCATCAATAGTTGGTCTCATATATTTAATCATATGTGGTTAAATGTATCTAATCACATATAATTTATATAAACAAGATTCATTTTTTCCAAATAAAATCATATGTGATTAGAGTCATATAATCACATGTGATTAATCTACTTAATCACATATGATTAAAAGGGACAAAGAAAAACTATTAAATCGAGAAAGCAAAAACAAATCTTGTCCACATAAATCATATGTGATTAGATACGTATATTCACATGTGATTATATGTATTTAATCACACATGATTTATGTGAGCAATATTAATTTTTTTCGTTTTCAATTCAATAGTTGGTGTCGTGTTTTTAATCACATGTTATTATATATATATATATATATATATATATATATATATATATATATATATATATATAATCACATATAATATTTGTTTTTGTGTTCTTGATTCCATAGTTGTCCTCATATATTTAATCATATGTGATTAAATACGTATAATCACATGTTATTAAATACATGACAAAAGTTATTGCATCACATATGATTAACATGGACATGATTTATTTCCGTGTTTCCGATTCTTCCCAAAATATACGGTTGTTCTTATCCGATTTAGACTCGATTAACAATTAATTAACCATACCGTATCCATTATATATACTAATAATGTTAGCCATATTACAACATTTCCTATATTAACATATAGTAAAATTAAATGTAATCCTAATTCTATAAAAACTACCGTAGACATTTTGTTTAAAAAAAAGGCTAGCAACTCAGTATTTGATTATTCAAATTCCCATAATATATCTATTCAATTATAAGTGTCTACAAATCAAGGGAATATTCGTAATAATCTATCATTTTTCAACTTATAATAAATGCAAAGCCCCAAAGAATGATGGAACTCTCATAAAGATAATTAACGCAAACAAACACAAAAGTTTGTACATGCTATTATCCAAGAAACCTACACTTAGTAAAATAGTCATAAAACTTAACAACAACTAAGAACTAACATATTAAAAAATAATTATTTCTTATCTTATTTTTAGAAAATAACACAAATTTGAACATATCTCAACAAAAAAAACATCAAAATAACACTAAACTAATGACATCTACCATTGAAACAAATAAGTCAATCTAACACATAAAACAATTGAATATAAGAACATGTATACATGCAAAAGTGCAGATAAGAAGAGGTTAAAAACTAAGTATTTTCCAATAAAACAAGTGAACAAATCATTTACTATTGCACTTGTATTTCAATTGCAAATCGATCATTGTGCTTGTTCATATCCATAATACAACACTAAAGTACACCAAAATGAATTATTTAAACCATTATAACAATATGTTTATTGCAAGATAAACATATCAAATGGCCTATAATCACTCACCTTGGCATACTTAAATGTATTAGACGTTAACATGCACAATGGTTGGTTTTGAAATCAAAAATCAAAATACAAGTGTAATGGTCCAATTGGTAGTAAATAATAAATCTAGAATGTGCATAGCGCATTAACCTAGCAATTAAGAGTTCATCTGTGGATTTTGATGAGAAAGAGGACACCCACTAGAATACCACCTGTAGTTCATAATTAAAATAAAATTATTAACTTAATAGATTAGCAGAAAAAGATAAAGCTAACAAGAAAATAACCTTATCCAACATACCATAGCCAATATTTCATGGCCCCTGGCATCGAACCAGTTAGAGGAGCAGAATCAGGCATTCCAGTTGGTAACCGGAGCTCTCCTCCTTTTCACCTTCTTCCCATCCATAGCCATTTTATAATTAAATGGGTATCCAATCGATGCACTTCATTGGATCAACGACTGAATTCCTGGCGCCTTCTCCTGATTTATTCACAAAAAACAAAAACGCCTTTTATTTCCCAGACTGTTTATCAAACCCTAACGCCCTTCTTCAATCTCTACATACGATGAAACCTAAGTCAACAATCTCTACGATGAAAGTTCAAAAGGAACATTGTACCTTCTATACGCTTAAAAGTTACAGATCATAACCTTTCGATTTGCAGGAAGCCAAGAGCGGCCACTGAACATGACGGAGAACTGTAGAAGTTGTGTCGATCGACCATTGCTGATGTTGGTTGGTTGTGAGCGGCGACCTGCTGGAAGAGTCTGCGATCTTTGCAAAGCATTTCCTAGCAGATCCGATGGCGGCAAAGATGGCCGGTGAAACCAGATCTAGCGGCTGGGAAGCTAGATCGGGAAGAAGAGAGAAAGAAGGAGGTGGTTTTCAATGGTGTGAGGAGTAGATGCGGAGGGAAGAGGCAGTGGTGCGGTGGTTTGGCGAAGGCAATGCGGTGGTTTCGGTGAAGCCGGTGCGGTGGTTCCGATGACAGCAACGCATTGGTTCAATGGTGGTGTAGCTTCAAACGACGTCAGTATTGGTAGAGTTGGGGGTTGGTAGCTAGGTGACTAGGTGGGAAGTGATTTTAAATTATAATCCGAATTTGTTCTGAAACGTGAAACGTTCTCACGGGAAAAATGTTCTCATCGGAACATAACTCTATATATATATATATATATATATATATATATATAAAATTAAACAACATGCTTTCGGTCAGAAAGACAGTTATAATCAGAGCCTAATTCAATCAGATGTGACTCAGTAACTATCAAACAACCGTAAGTTGAAATTCATTGTTGTACCCACTACGGTCTCTTGTATTTATTTAAGGTTATTTTTGTGTAGCAATTTTTGTTATAAATGTTACATTTGATAGATTAGGACAATGATTGGAAAATAATGTTACCAATAATTGTAATAAATTGCTCTCACGTTTTGAGGTCTGCATTTTGTGGGCTCTATAGTCTATTTAATGATGTTAAGTTTGTGGGCTCATAGAGCATGTTGTTGGACCTTATTCAGATATTCATGCCACATTGCCACACATGAGTCATGACATATCTTCAATATCCAAAACTTTGTATTTTATAAACATTTTCCCCATCAAATTAAAGATGATCTCGGATTTTGCTTTTACAACTATCGGTTTTAGAACTCGTGAACTCGCTGATGATTTCAAGAAAGAAAAATGGATGAGAATGAAAGCTATTGTTTTACCTCTTTGCAGAATTGCAGGTTCTAAATAGAGTTCTTCATAAGAACACCGTCATGCTTTCACTCTAATTTGTGACCATTATCATCTTTTTTAATTTCTCTCACTCATAAATACTTAAGATTTAAACTCGAGATGAAATCAACGAGGAATAATATGAGTCTTTGAAAAAACATTTACAAAATCAATGAAGAAAACAAACTTGCAAAAGAAAAAAAACATCCTCTTGCGAAATTTTGTGGGCTCAAATACTCGCAAATTCGTGGCTAATATTAGCATTGACTTTTGTTGGAAAAAGCACATTCGCAAAAATAAGAGTTGTCCGTAGTAAATTTTTCATAAGTTCGAATATACTTGTGAATTCTACCCGCTAAATTTAACAATACTTTTTGGAACAAATTATTGAAATCGTCTCTATGGTTTAAAAAAATTTCAGGTCCCTAAGGTTTGTTTTGCACCCATAGTCCCTATAGTTTGGTTTTATTGCAGATTTCATCCCTCTTGCACTTAAAATGACAATATTACCCTTTTGTATTTTCTAAACTTATCTTTTATTTTATTTATTATTTATAATATTGACAAAACAGATGGGCCCACCCACCCTATCTTCTTCTCCACCCCACCATCCCCACCGACAACCAGTACCAACATGTTCACCTCTAGAAACTGCCCACCATCCCATTCGTTAATCACCATCATCCTCGCTGGTAACCACCACCACTGTTCCTTCTTCTCTCATCGTTCAATCTTCCTCGTTTCTCTCTTATCTCAACGGAAACATCACAAGCGCCACCTAAAACCACCACTCACCAGTCGTACCCTCTTTCACCTCCAACAGCCTCCACCATTCACTGGTAACACTCCCTTTAACCTCTGCTAACCACAACCACTCACCACCAACATCAAATTCAGATAAAACTGAAACACAAATCTGAGTTGAAACTAATGAATTCGACAACCCAAGAGCAAACTCACACAATTTAAGCTTGAATCAAGCACCAAAATAAAGGACATTAAGGTTTATATAAGAATTTCCATCTATCAATAACATTTTAATCTGCAAAATTGTGTTTTTTTCCTGGGATTCAAATTCCTACATCAACTGAAACTCAAAAATTACAGAAACCGTAGGTTCATAAATTTGTTTTTTTTTAGTATGGGATTCCAACTCATTGTATAAGTTAAATCAGATATGGAGAGATCGAGATGAAGAATGAGTAGAAAGCGGTGGGGAGGTAGATCGACCCGAAGGAGACGAGGAGAAGGATCCGAAGACGATGAAGTTCCTGTCGATAAGGAGTTTCTCCGGCGGAAATGTTTCAGGAGACACTTCTCGGAACTAAAGAGAAAGAAAGTGATAAGGGGCATTAGAGGAGACGATGGGTTGGAGTGGGGCCCACGTCTTTATTAAATATCGTTTTATTGTTTTATTTTATTGAATAAATGAAAAATAATAAGTAAGGGTATTATAGTTTTTTGTGTTTTAGGGATGAAATTCGCAATAAAATCAAACTGTAGGGACTGCCCGAGTTCAGAAAAACATTAAGGACCAAACATGAACTTTTAGCAAATCACAAGGATATTTCAGTAATTTGTTCTAATTTTTGTTATAATGAAATAAGTTTATTGTCAGAAAAAATAAGGTTGCTAATTTGTGGTTGTTTTTGGTAATTTAGATGGTTATTTTATAATAAAAAATAAAATGATGGTCACTATGGTTGATCTAGTTTCTAAATATAATATTTTAATGAATAACTCTATAATTTAAAGCAATAATAATCCAAAAACTCGGAAACACTCCTACCATGACAGAAGCTTCACCTGTATGGAATTAATCTGGAGAATATAACTTGTTAAGGTAATTAACTTTCCGGTATGTTCACATCTGGGTAGCTCTTTTTTTTTGTACACATCTAGATAACAAACTTGTTGGAAGTGTTCACATATGACCATTATAACTTGCTATAACAGGTTAAATCCTAGATGTGAACGCTTTCAACAAGTTCGTTACCTAGATGTGTACAAAAAAAATAGATATCCAAATATGAACAAAACGAAAAGTAAAAATTAAATTACACGAATGGTCCCAGTGGTTGGGGGAATTTGTGTTTTTGGTCCCAACTTATTTTTTAACTTGGATGGTCCCTACTGTTTATTTTTGTTGCGTGTTTGGTCCCTGTCTTACCTAAAAAGACTATTGTGCCCTTATTAATTTTATTATTTATGCATTTATTTTTTACATATTTAAAAATATTAATAGACCCCACATATTTGTATCTCCTCGGATGATCCTTACTGTTTATTTTTTAATTAATTAATTTTTTTTAACTCGGATGGTCCCTATTGTTTATTTTTGTTACGCGTTTGGTCTCTGTCTTTCCTAAAAAGATTATCAAACGGCCCCTAAGATTACCTAAAAGTAAAAATTAAATTACACGAATGATATGTGGGGTATATTAATTTTTTAAATATATAAAAAATAAATACATAAATAAGAAAATTAATTAAAAAATAAATTAATAAGGACAAAATATTCTTTTTAGGTAAGACAGGGGCCAAACGCACAACAAAAATAAACAGTATGGACCATCCAAGTTAAAAAAATAAGTTAGGGACAAAAACACAAATTCCCCCAAACCACTGGGAC